TGCTGAGCTGCGGGCCCGGAGGCACCTCCTGGCCATCCCTGAGCCAGGCCACGCTGATGGGCCGCGGGTAGAAGGCGGTGACATGGCAGACCAGCAGCAGCTGGTGTGGGCTGGGCGTGCGGGCAAAGACCGTGGCCACGGGCACCTCTGGGGGATGGGAGCAAAGGGGAGCCCTGGTTGGGCAGGGCTTGGCCCCAGGACTTTGGGGTGGCTGTGGCAGGGTCAGGGTGGTCTCACCTTGTCTCTCCAGAGCTGCCCTCCCTGAGCTCAGAAACCTCTCTATGGCATTGACGCAGGTATCACTGAAGATGACCTCCACCCACTCACTGAGGGCAGTGTAGTTCTTGAGGAAGGCAAGAACGTACCGGGACAGGTCGGTGTCCTGGGAGAGGGTCCAGGTTACATTCTCTGTGTCAAAGCTGAGGAAATCCTGCCCATTGTATCCTGCAGAGGCGAAGGTCCGAGAGGTCCTGTTGGGGTAGAGCTCACAGCCTATCATGCCCTGAACCACAAAGGGGTCTGGAGGGGCAGAGAGGAGAGAGAGAGGTTGCAGGAGGGGCTGGGATTGCTGTGGACATGATCAGTGTTCCCTCTACAGTGCCAGCACTTGCCAGATCCATCCCCACTCCCCAGCTGCTGTTCAGAGAGGGGAGGCAGTGAAGACTGGATACTCACAGGGCACATCCCTCTGCATGGCCTCTTCATTGATCAGGTGGCTGAACCTCAACAAATAGAACCTGAATGTGCTGTCAATGTTGTCCCAGTCCTTGCGGGGTAGAGCTGGATGCACCCAGGGCTGGTGGAAGTGGATGGACCAGGTGTGCTTATCAAGAGAACCAAGTTGGATGTCTTCCAGCAGGCCCACCCCCTCTGTCTCCACAAAGGAGGTGTTTTGGAAGGTGGAGGTCTGGAGCAGCCGGAGAGTGACGGTCCCTATATAAGGAAAGGGGTTGGCAGGGAGGAGATGGGAGTGAGAGGAGAGGCACAGGGAAAGTGGAGGGGCTGCCGGGCAGGTCCTTGAGGTTGCAGTGATCTGTGGACCCCCCTAGGCCCCCTCAGCCTTGGCAGCCCCGGTTCCCACCCCCTGCACCCAGCCCAGGTGGCTGCATCCCTGCCCAGGAGGAGGTGTGGAGCCAGGGAATGAGGAGGGGTGAGGAAGGAAGAGCCAAAAGTGGATTGTGGAGCAGGAAGCCTCTTGCCCAGGGAGTCCCACAGGGGCACGGCAGCAGCTGTGGATGAGCCAAGGCTCCCACTTACCCTCCAGAGTTGCCCATGTCCCAGAGAGAAGGAAGAGGTAGAGGAGGAGGAGGAGGAGGCAGCAGCGAGGGGGCTGCATGGTGCCAGCAGTGAGGCCCAGAGTGTGCAGCAGTGGGTGCAGCAGCAGCAGCAGGACGAGGCTGTGTGAGATGAGGCTGGAGATGTCTCAGGCTGGCTCTGCCTGGGCAGCTGTGCTGGTGCTCATGGCCCTGGCAGCCAATGGGGCTGG